CAAACTCTACACTTTTCACCTGAAGAACGCTTTTTGGATATATTGGAAAAAAGGGGTTTCACAAAACTTTGCTTTTTGCATAACAAAATTTTTTGCGGTGCTGAGGTTATCAATAGTGACTCGTTGAGGGTGAGTGAAGGCCGGGGGGGGGGGGAGAAAAACGACTAAAGACACAGACAATCATGTCGATGGCACTTACGAGCTAAGACTGCAATGAACTTTAAGAGGGTCAACAAAAATGCATTTTTTATCGTTTCGAAAATTACTTCTTCATTCCGAAATGTGAAAAAATTTTGACTATTTATGATTTATAGACAATGGCATCCAAGGGACCGGAGTGTTCGATCTGTTTTGAAGGTTACAATGACAAAGACAAATGTCCTCGGTTGCTGAGTTGTGGACATAGCTTCTGCTCGTGTTGCTTGGAAAGGTTACTCCGTGGTAACACTATTGATTGTCCCAAATGCAGAAATCTAGTTGCCGTTCCTTCTGGGGTCCATGGCCTGTTAAAGAATTTTGCGTTACTGGACATCGTGAACGAAACGGCACCCCAACAAACTGCTGAAAATACAGATCATACAGGCACTCACGAATGTGAGGCTTGTGATGAGAAACACCCCGCGACTTTCTTTTGCTTGGACTGCAAAGAAAACTTGTGCAAGACTGCAGCTCAGTTTCATAAACGCAGCAAATTAAGTCGTGACCACCGGGTTGTTACCTTCAAGGAACTGAAAGCAAACCCTCAGCTGGCTTCTGTATCGGTTCTCTGTCCGGAGCATAACGATCAATTCCGCTTTTTCGACGAAAATTGTGGTCATGTTATTTGTAGAGATTGTTATGCCCTTAATCATAACGGGCACAAGTTTGTAGTAGTAGCTGACGCTGCTTCAAAATACCGACAGGAGATGGAGGCGCTTGTCACCAAAGCCAGCTGTCAAGCCGAAAAGATTAATGCTGCTAAAGATCAAGTGGTGAATAAGCTTGTTTTAATGGAAGAGGGTTGCGAAGTACAGCGTGAAAACATTCAAGGCTTTTTTAGAAAGGTATGGCATATCTTTGTTATTGGGGTACCACTTACGAGTTACTATCCGAATTTCCTATTGCTTTTTAACGGTTTCTGCTAACAATAATTATAAAGAAACAAAATAATCTCAACGTGGAATGCAGAAACCAGTGATTTGTTAATACCTATCCTGAACTAAGGCCAATGAACTAAATATTTAAGGGTAGGCCGCTCCCGGATCATGATTGTTGAACGTATTCACTGAACTCACCTTGTAGCTAGCCTAACACACGGGATGTAAGCCCTAAGAACGTCCGCGCTAAAGGCTTCTTCAAGCCTGCGTGCAAACGTCTCCAATTTCCTTTGGACACAGACTACGCACCTCGGAAAACACCTATCAGCCGTTTTTGATCTGGATTGTTTGTGTGGAATAGGTCCGCGGATATTACAGAGTGTGCGTTTTCTTTTGTATATTTATAGCTTCATTCTGCACTATCTAACCGAGAGCAAGTTTTGATGGATAAGTTGTCCAGTATACATCAACAAAAGAAATCCATCCTCACGGAGCAGCTCGACCGTTTGGAAGTAAACGAAGCATTTTTAAAGAGTGCAGCTCAACGAGCAAAGTCCTCCATCCAATCTCCGAGTGATGTTCAGTTCCTACTCAACAGGCCGGATATAGTCTCGACGCTCGAGACCGAAAAATGCTACTCAGTGGTACTTGAGCCAGAGGCACAGTTTATTCCAGAGTTCACCGAGAGCGAAGAGAAGGGAATGGTGAGAATTTAAATTGATTTTAGTTATCCATGAATTAGCCTGGGACCCAGACTAACGGTTTTCTTCGAACGCCATTCTCTTCTCCGGGATGAATATTCTGGCAGATATTCTTTACATAGCAGTTGTCATCTACCCTGGTCCCGGACGTTTTTCTGGAAAATTTTCTCTGCGTAAGAGAGAACGAGCTGTGCAAAGTGGCGATCTAGGACCAGGGTAGTTGTCATTTGTCGAGTAGTATATGTTCATTTCCGTGTGAAATTTTCCACCATTATTCTCCAGCTCTATCAATAGAGCCTGAGCTGAGCTAACACAACCTCTTCCCCAGGGCGTCACAGTTGTCCACCTATTTCTGCAGTTATCCTGCACCATTAACGCCTTTCTTGGCGATATCCCAAACGTCATCCAAATTTGGTCAACGCTAACTAGAATTTGCCGAGGATTTAAGCCAATCAGAAATGAGGAAATATTAATCTCTTTTTACAATATGGTGGATGCAACGCCCGTTGCATCAGTGTCGCAGTCACTCCACAGTCCACACCGCCTGTATAGAGTCTATAGACTATGTGGAAAACTGGGACTCAGTATCACGTGTTTTCGTTTTGGGAAATCCCACCCCCCACGAGCTTTTCCCTTGCTCGAAGATTCTGAGTTTTTTTTGTTGTTGTCTCTGAATGGTAGTTTTAAGAAGCTGCATTGCTAGTCGAGTAGTATATTTATGAAGTTATTAAGTTATCCCGTCTTATTAAGTTATTTAATACTTTAGGTTAGCCTCTCTTCGTAGTCGTTATGTACTTGCCTAATTGTGTGGGCCAGCTTTGCGCACAGTCGTTGCCCATGATCGATTACAGAGTACAGACACACCAAAATTCATTTCTCAGTTCACAAATATAAGAACTCATCCAAAGGTTACTTAAAATATGGTTGTCGTAAAGACAATTTTATTCTATAAAACTATTAAGAAAGGGAATATCGAGTGAAAGATGACTAAGCGTGCCAAGTAAATCGCTTTTTTAGTAAATGAGCTTTACGAAATTGACTTTCTAAAGAATGTAAAATGCAACGATCTCTTTCAGCCTGTCACGTACCGCTCCAACAAGAGTATAGAGGCGGTTATCCAGAGCGCAGGAGACATCAGTGACATATCAACCTGTGCAGCAAACACTACTGCAACTGGTCCGGGAATAAGAACTGCAAACCCTGGAAGGAAGGTGACATTCACTATTACTTCTCACGACGGCCGAAACTTTCAACGCAAGCTTGGTGGCGACGTTTTTGAGGTGAAACTGAAACCAGAGGTGGGAGGAGATGAAATAAAGGTAGAATTGAACGACCAAAAGAATGGAACTTACTTGGCAGAATATGCTGTCGACAATCTGTGTGGCAAATTAACGTTGTCGGTATTCTTGCGAGGTGCACACATCAAAAACAGTCCATTTTCTGTTCTAGTTGAACCTAGAAGGGAAGATGAGCGAGGCCATAGACGTCCAGCTAGAAATCCGATCGAAACAAGGCAAGATGGATATCCAGCTAGAAATCCGATCGAAACAAGGCAAGATGGATATCCAGCTAGAATTCCGATCGAAACAAGGCAAGATGGGTATCCAGTTAGAAATCCGATCGAAACAAGGCAAGATGGATATCCAGCTAGAACTCCGATCGAAACAAGGCAAGATGGGTATCCAGCTAGAATTCCGATCGAAACAAGACAAGATGGGTATCCAGCTAGAAATCCAATCGAAACAAGGCAAGATGGGTATCCAGCTAGAATTCCGATCGAAACAAGGCAAGATGGGTATCCAGCTAGAATTCCGATCGAAACAAGGCAAGATGGGTATCCAGCTAGAATTCCGATCGAAACAAGGCAAGATGGGTATCCAGCTAGAATTCCGATCGAAACAAGGCAAGATGGGTATCCAGCTAGAATTCCGATCGAAACAAGGCAAGATGGATATCCAGCTAGAATTCCGATCGAAACAAGGCAAGATGGATATCCAGCTAGAAATCCGATCGAAACAAGGCAAGATAGATATCAAGGTAGAAGACGAGGCAACAGGGAACTAGGCGAGATCAGGAGCCGATTACGGGCGTCGGATATCGTTTTTGACTAAGCCTGACGGAAGCGACCATGGGAAGAGGAAAGACGAGGTGTTACTCGCTTTCTCGTTCCTGTCATCGTTTGCTTGCAAAGTTTCGTAGCGAGAGGATATCTGGAAACGAGGCTGTTAAGACTTTTTTGAAAAGAAGGCGGCGCGACTCGCACAAACATAATTGTTAATAGCGGAGCTCTCGCGCGCGAAGCGCGCGCAGCGGAGCACCGTGGGTAAGAAAATGTGGTAAACTACCCATCCGAGAAAATTTGGTAATCACGTGACCGTACACCGACCAACTGCCCGACCGTCCGTCCGCACCACAGGCATACCAATGTAAAATAACTCATTCAACAGGTATGGCAACCCAAATGTAACTCGAGGTTATTTTGACGGGAAATCGCATAGCCACCCGCGCCTTGTGAAGCAGAGACAACTAAAGGGTCAATAAAGACGAAAACGGAAAGCGGAAATTGTTTCTGTATCCGTGTTTTCTAAAGTAGATTAATTGTTATGTCCACAAATTTTGAATATAGAGCGAGAGAAAGACAGAGGAAAAGAGAAAGTAGGCGACAGGCCAGCGAAACTCAGCGAGATAAAGAGCGACAGAGATCTAGAGCGAGAGATACAAAACAAAGGAGACATTTTTTTTGTCGGAAGAACAACATGACAATTTTGTAGCGGTGGTGAGAAAATGAGAAATGCTAGCGGCCACCAATGCAAGGTGAAAGTGAGCGGCAGTGAAAAAAGGTGAACGAGAAAGCGTACGACATTTCAGTCCATAAAACGTGTAACTAAGAAGTTTCTGGAAGTTTCACGTTGCGGTCGTGCAAAACAATAGCAAAGAAATGTACAAAATAGTGTGCTGCACGTGCAAAGTTCCTTTTTTGCTAATTAGACCTATTGTTGTTTTTCACCGTTCTCCGGCGTTGCCTTCGCCGCTTAGCATTACACGATTTTGTATTTTGTTTGAACAAAATATAAATATTATCGAGAGCTTCGCTTTTAGCCCTGGCTAAATCTATATATTACAAGTCGCGAAAGTTTTGATTCACGTGGTGCCCGGGGGGCGGGGGGGTAGTCGACCAATATTTGGGTATGGGTGAACCGCTGAGGGTTTGAAACCTTGACCCTGTTTAGGACGAAAAATTCCTAAAATACATACCCTGTTTGGGACAACACGCTCAATAGTACCCTGTTTTTGCATGGCCCAACGCCCTGCTTATAATTAGAACAGACTCGCACAAATCATGCACACTGTTTAGGACAGACTTGCGCGAAATTGTTTACCCTGTTTAGGACACTGACTCGTGCGAAATTATATACCCTGTCAGGAGCCTGTTTAGGACAGAGAGGACGAAAACCGTACCCTGTCCAGCGGCACATCCCCGTATAGGCCATATAAGGGAGTAACCCCCCCCCCCCCCGGGACGGGGGGCAACTCATACCAGTGGTACACGTTTGAGAAAAGGTTTTCTATTTGATAAATGTGCGATTGGTTCATGTGATAAATTTCAGTGAAATAATATTTAGTATTCCTTACATAAGCTGCATCTAATGAGGGAAACTGGAGAATTGTTACAGAGATGGGACTTTTTCAACTGGTACAACTCGTTCAAGTCAAGCAATTGGCGAAACCTCAATAACATCAACATAAAACTTTACACCACATATGGTTTATTACAACAAAGATTGCCAAAACATACTGTTTCTGGACGGATTAACAGAAATGTGGAGGTGACTTCACTCAGTTCTTTTAGAAATTACGGCTCTTAATAGGGACTAACATATAAAGATAAGTAGATAGAATTCAATATCATATGAACTAAAGAACTACATTCAACTTGTCATGAACTCACGNACAGTTTCTCCCCCGTGTAGGGCACTAGCGCCGGGGGAATTTTATACCCCGTCCGGAGGCTGTTTTGGGCAGAAAGGAGAAAAACCGTGCCCCGTCCCCCGGCCCACCCCCCCATAGGGCCAATAAAGGAGTGACCCCCCCCCCCCCCGGGACGTGGTGCAACTCATACCAGTGGTACACGTTTGAGAAAAGGTTTTCTATTTGATAAATGTGCGATTGGTTCATGTGATAAATTTCAGTGAAATAATATTTAGTATTCCTTACATAAGCTGCATCTAATGAGGGAAACTGGAGAATTGTTACAGAGATGGGACTTTTTCAACTGGTACAACTCGTTCAAGTCAAGCAATTGGCGAAACCTCAATAACATCAACATAAAACTTTACACCACATATGGTTTATTACAACAAAGATTGCCAAAACATACTGTTTCTGGACGGATTAACAGAAATGTGGAGGTGACTTCACTCAGTTCTTTTAGAAATTACGGCTCTTAATAGGGACTAACATATAAAGATAAGTAGATAGAATTCAATATCATATGAACTAAAGAACTACATTCAACTTGTCATGAACTCACGGCTTTCCGTCTTGTTTCATCTTTTACGATGATTTTAAAAGTGATTTTAAAATTGCTAAGCCTTGATCTCTGCTCGGTAGAAAAAACGTTATTCTTCAGACTCGGCAGGGTCGCCGATTGACTCTGAGATTTGGTGATTATAGAAAACTGAGTGAATCAAGTTCCAAAAGGGAGGGGGAGGGGGAAAAAGCAATCGAAAAAGAGTTTGGACCCCCCCCCCCCTGGGTACAAAGATTGTTACCCGTTGCACGACTCGCACGGCTCCTGCTACCTTCGAACCCCCGTCTCTACACTACAACATGCAGTTCCGCCAGTTGGAGGACTCGTTTTCTTTACAGTAGTTATAGGTGAATACAATATATTGTAATGTAGTTGGGAACTACTGTAGCACAAGATGTAACTGGAACCCTAATAAAAATAAGTGAATTGCAGTCAAAACATTAAAGCGATAGATGTATATGAAATAAATCATATGAGAACTGCGGAAATGAAATCAAATGAAGAATGATCCTCGCAGATGTGAAGGCAATTTATGCAATTGCGTGTTGGGCCTGCTTGCTTGTGGCATGATGCATTGCGGCCTCGCTTCAACCTCGCCTCTTGGCCAGCTCAACGAAATTCCGGGTACGTTACGCCGAGGTCTTTCCCCTTCAAGCAGTGTTGTCAAATGTACCTGGTAAATATCCCAGCTTTAGTTAGAATACTCGATTTCTGTGCATCAGTATAGAGGAGAAGTGTGACGTCACGTTACCATGGTAGCAAAATTTCTGGATCACAACATTAGGGAGTTTAAGCAACGACGACGGCGACGGCAGCGAGAACAGTTAAAAAGCGATAAGTTTATATTAGCAAAACGACAACTTTGCACGTGCATCGCGCTTTTTTGTACATTTCTTAGCCGCCGTTGCTCGACTGCGACATGAAACTTCCTAATTTCACGCGCTTGCTTTATGTAGTAGGTAGACACAACCCAAAATTTACTTTTTCTTTTTCTTAAATACGGTCCTTTCGGATTCAACCCCAGAAAATTTCGCCATCATTTGACAAATTAAATGAAATTGAATAAGATCGATTAAGTTTGAAAAAGTGCGAATTCACTTTTTAAGTGAATTTTCGGTTTGTTGTCATCCAGAAATTTTGCTACCATGGCAACGTGACTTAACGACTTCTCCTTTCTATTAAAACGGATTTTACAAAATCTTGAATTCCCAAATCCAAGTTCTTGTCAAACTATGAAACTCGCTTTATGCATAGTTCTGCACAGACAATTTTCTTTGGTTTTGTGGTCGGCAATTTTCAACTGTGCAGGTAATCATGTTTTGTTTTACTGAATTTCTAATCAAAAACTAATAGCGACTGCCTTATCCAAATAACTCTTATTTTACAACATAAAGGACTTTTTATTCTTGAAACGACATCAGTTGTTATTTTAACTGGAACGTTTTTGGAAACTTTTGTTTTAATGAGCTTTGTTTAGAGTCTCATCTGCCCGGGAGTAGATACTCCCTAATTTATTTGCTTACAAGAAGGCTCCGCTCGAAAGGGGTATCTTTTTCAGGCTTCAGGTATATGAAAGAGAAGGGATTTTCTAGTTAAAGTATATAAAAGGTTAGACAAATCTGTCACTTCGGTCTGTGAAAAGGCTAAAAAACGACAAACAGATGCATTTCACTACCCGTGAAAAAGTCGACAAAACGTTTTGGTTTTGTGATTCATTCATACATTAAAGACGGTGCATTTACAGCAGTTTAAAGGGATGCAGAGTTCTAAGTTAGGCCAGCTATCCTCTCTTTGCTACGTATGTGAAAGGAGTTCCATTTGTCGGCAATAGGAGGTAAACGAAAGGGTTAGCTTTTCTGTCAAAAATGGTGAAAAGGATCGAGTTAGACCTTTGGGCGGAGCCTTCCCTCAAAAAATACTTTGTTGATCTCCCGAGCTCATGCATCTGTGGCCTGCATGGGTACTTTCCTCGTGTAGTTTAATCAGTCCGCGTGATACTCGTAATACACCTCTGGACGCATTGCGCACGACGCATTTGTTTGTCGACCCCGCCTCTCAGTCCCTCAGTGAGGAAAAAAAAAAGTTTTGTGCGGGCACACCGATAACCCATTGCTGGCTAAGATACTGGAGACCAGGCTATGGGGAGTGAAAACCTAAAGGATTGGTTGGGTGAATTCTGTATTTGTCTGCCGAGACCGGTGTTCCGGCCGGTGATCAGCCTTTAATCTCAACATCCCCTCCCCTGCAAAAGCAACAGTTTAGCATATCGTCACGTGACCAAACTAGTTCACCGCGGTAACAAAGCGGAGGCGATGGTGGTCAATGAAGTTCTTGCACTAGCTTTATTGAGCCTTTTGCCTAAAGGTACGTATAACTTCTTTACTTAAAGAAATACAAGGTAGAGGTTATCTTTAGGCAATGGAATACACTAATTCATGCTTATTCTCCGATCGCTTAGCTCGATCATGGTATCGATGCGTACCCGCGCCGTCGCAGCTTTCATTTGCTTAGAAAATTTTGATTTTCAAGTTCTCTTTTTTACCCTATCATTTAAATGCAAGCTTTACACCAAGAAAATGTTTTTTTTTTCAGTTTGAGGCTTTATTTTACGCAATTAAACAAATGGAATGCAGTTTATATCGGGCTTCAGTTTGGTTTGAAAATATGCGGGGGGGGGGGGGGGGGCGGGGGTGGTGGGGCACCCGCCGGTGGTTCCGCCAGGGTGCCCCCTGCCTTGTTTTTTTTTTTATGACAGTGTTTTCCTTTTATTGTAAATGATGTTTTTGGTACAAATAGTGGTGTGGATGCATACAAGTTTATATTTTTTTTTTTTATTCTTATTATATCATATTTAGCTTTAGTATAATTTTTTTTTTTTTTTTTTTTTTTTTTTTTTTTATTTAAAGAAAATGATATGGTGTGTTTGTTGTGTGTGTGTTTTTTTTGGTGGGGGGGGGGGGGGGGGGGGGGGGGGGGGGGCTGGGTTGGTGGCGGACCCCCGAGTCTCTCCCCTGGATCTGCCACTGCTCTGACTTTTTATTATGAACCGGTTTTCCTACTATGTATAACGATTTTGTTGGGAACAAAAATATGGGGGTGAATGCCTAATTAAAATCTTAAGGTAATTCCCTTGTTTTGCACCACGCACCCTCTACTGCGCATAATATTGCGACATCCAAGATGGGGGCGGTTCTTCCCGTTAGTGTGAAAAGAACAAACAAGGGCCGCTTTTACGGGCTAAAGCTTTTATTTACAATAATAATGCCCACAGATCAGCTGACAGCTTCCTGGTCTGCTATCAAAAAACAAGAAAATGAAAAAAATATGCATGATCCCAATGTCTGCAGTGGTTTTCACTTGGTGGCCATCAAGTTTTGGAATTAAATGTCCTCGCTGAGGCTTTAGATGGGGGCTGTGAAACCTGTGGGACAACTCTACGGCTTTCCAACTACATTAGCGAGACAGTTTCTGGCCTAGGATCAGTATTTTACATATGTTGTTCAAACTCTGAGTTTGGAGAGACAAATATTTGTCGAACAAATAAGACCCAGCCACCGTAGCACCAGAATCGTGCAAGGAAGATTAATCTTTGATGTAAACACGAAGTTTGCTGCTGAATTCACATTTTGCTGTGTATAGAAACCAAACAAGAGAACATATGAAGAATAGGAATCAGTAGTCTTTTCTTCAAGTTTCTTTGTCAAGCATTATTTTGCAAAAGCAAAAATATCAAACCCTATCTCACTGGAACAAAGAATGCAGCACTACTAAATATTCCAAAATAAATATTCATAACTCCAAAACCTCATCAAATCTTGACATACCTCATTCCTTGGTATTTTTTGTACTCTTTCCAAGTATGAATTTCTTTGTTGCTGATATCAAACACATAAAAACAACCGAAAACAAGCTCGATCTCGAGTGCATACTTCGAACACGATGGGCGCTATTTTGTATCTCATCCCAGTTCCCGCAGTGCAGATTCTCTATCCTGACTGCAATCTCAAAACCATGTCAACCTTTCATGGCATTTTGTGAGGAAACAGGCACGGTACTGACCCCTGATTTTTTTTTCTGGTACTTACATGTACTAAGAACAGTCCAATACAAAACATATGTGAAGAAGAAAAAAAGTTTGATAGTAGAACATGATTTTTTGTGGAAAATAGTTCTGTACTTGGTGTATTTAGGCCAAGGTGAGGACTTCAACCTAACCACGGAACTGTCTGGAAAAGTGCAATATCCCCACAACCAGGCAATCAAAAACGGCTTAAATGAGGCAATACTGCTTATTTGAATAACAGGAGCTCTATTTTCAACATAAAATTTTGTGTGTTTCAAGTAACAAAGACTTAAATCTGTATGAAGGTGATTCAAATTTTTAATGCGCAACCAGTAAAAGTACCCCAGTTTAAGAGCCGGCTGACGTGTAAACTAAAATGGTGACCCCATCTTTTTATTGCATTTTTTTAATGTTCATATCATGAATGTTGATTATGCCAAGTTTCAAAAAAAGTTTGATAATAGAACAATTTCAAGGGAATTACCTTAAGTCACTACTTTTATGTACATCAATCTTTTCCTTTGAAATTGGTCAGCAGTGCCTCTGCATGTCACATGAAACAGAGGCTTTGGTTAAAATTCCCTCCCTTTAGCATGGGCACCTAATTCCCCCCAACCCCCTCCCCCAGAGGACTATGGTTATCGAATTCCACCACCTCCACCACTTGGGATGGCAAAGGTTTCAAGCCCAATTGCATAGAACAGCCATGTGGGTACCCACCACTCATCATAAAACAGGATAAAACATTTATAAATCAGCTATGGGTTCTTTTAAGGTACTCTTTTAACATGTTCTTGAATAGAACATACTTCCTGCCTTATGGGGTACAATGTAACTGTCTAAGAGGCTCATTTTAAGGTACCTTTGACTTTGTCATAGTTGCTTAGTTTGTAAAATGACTGACTCACTTTTAATTTATATCTGATGTACAGCTGTAAACTATCAGTAGGTTTATAAATGGAGCTGTAGATCAAGCGAGCAGCTGCACCTGTTTTCTAAGAATTCTCATATTGTCTTCATGTGCTGCAGTCCATGGTTGTTCATCATATGTCTTCTTAATGTCCTTTTCTATATCTCATCTCTCTCTAACATTGTCTGGCTAATATGCAGAAAGGCTCCTCCAACTAATACTGGAGAGGGAAGAGTACCAGCAACTGAACAGTGATGCTGATGAATGCAATGAAAACAGTTGACTAAAACATGCTGAATTTGCATGATCCTTTTTTTTTCTTTTCATTTCACTTTTTAATTAAACTTACTTTTTTATTCATTTGTGCAAATTATTGATTATTTATTCATTTTAGGCAATGACATCGAAGATACCAGAATGTTCAATCTGCTTTGAACATTACAATGACCAAAGCAAGTGTCCTCGGCTTCTGAGTTGTGGACACAGCTTCTGCTCAAGTTGTCTGGAGAGACTTCTCCATGGTAACACTATTGATTGTCCCACATGCCGAAATCTGGGTGCTGTTCCTACTGGAGTGGAAGGACTGTTAAAGAATTTTGCATTATTGGACATTGTGAATGACACACCAAAAGAAAATGTTGGGAGTAATACAGGCTCACATGATTGTGAAGCTGTGGTGAGAAGCACCCTGCAAATTTTTGCTGCCTTGACTGCAAAGAAAACATGTGCAAAACTGCAGCTTAGTTCCATAATCGCAACAAGGTAAGTCGCAATCATCAAGTTGTTTCTCTTGAGGAACTGGAAGCAAACCCTCAGCTTGCTTCTGTTTCCCTCATATGCCAAAAACACAATGATAAATTCCGTTTTTTTATGAGAAGTGTGGTCACCCAGTTTGTAGGGAATACGTCGATCTTGAACACTTTGGTCATTTGTGTTTACCACTTGCTGAAGCTGCCTCCGAGTATGGAAAGGAAGCGAAAGAATTAATAAAAAAGACTAACGTGGAAACTGGATCAGCGGTTGAATATGAACTGAAAAAGGCTCAACTTGAACAGGAGGTGGGATACCTACAAGGCCTCCTTAAAAAGGTAAAGTTAAAATAATTATGCATTGTTTGGGTTAATTTATTGTTACATGCTGCCAAAGTTAGAATTCAATTCATTTTTTTTCACATTTTTCTAAAACTGAGACTCTCTTTGGGTATTTCCAATGAAATCAAAGTCACCACAATTGCCGTTAATGAAATAATAATCCCTTTAAGTGGTTAATGCAAAAATCATGTTGCCATTCAGGTCAAGTTTCAAGTTTGACATTTTGGACAGTTTTTGCTCTTTCTGGGCCAAAAGTGATCAGAAAAAATAACAAATGGCTGTTATGGGAGCTGAGGTACATGTAACATGGACAGGAAGAAATAATTTCCTGAAGATGGGAGTTTGAACACGGAGCGGATCTCCNAAGTTGTCTGGAGAGACTTCTCCATGGTAACACTATTGATTGTCCCACATGCCGAAATCTGGGTGCTGTTCCTACTGGAGTGGAAGGACTGTTAAAGAATTTTGCATTATTGGACATTGTGAATGACACACCAAAAGAAAATGTTGGGAGTAATACAGGCTCACATGATTGTGAAGCTGTGGTGAGAAGCACCCTGCAAATTTTTGCTGCCTTGACTGCAAAGAAAACATGTGCAAAACTGCAGCTTAGTTCCATAATCGCAACAAGGTAAGTCGCAATCATCAAGTTGTTTCTCTTGAGGAACTGGAAGCAAACCCTCAGCTTGCTTCTGTTTCCCTCATATGCCAAAAACACAATGATAAATCCCGTTTTTTTATGAGAAGTGTGGTCACCCAGTTTGTAGGGAATACGTCGATCTTGAACACTTTGGTCATTTGTGTTTACCACTTGCTGAAGCTGCCTCCGAGTATGGAAAGGAAGCGAAAGAATTAATAAAAAAGACTAACGTGGAAACTGGATCAGCGGTTGAATATGAACTGAAAAAGGCTCAACTTGAACAGGAGGTGGGATACCTACAAGGCCTCCTTAAAAAGGTAAAGTTAAAATAATTATGCATTGTTTGGGTTAATTTATTGTTACATGCTGCCAAAGTTAGAATTCAATTCATTTTTTTTCACATTTTTCTAAAACTGAGACTCTCTTTGGGTATTTCCAATGAAATCAAAGTCACCACAATTGCCGTTAATGAAATAATAATCCCTTTAAGTGGTTAATGCAAAAATCATGTTGCCATTCAGGTCAAGTTTCAAGTTTGACATTTTGGACAGTTTTTGCTCTTTCTGGGCCAAAAGTGATCAGAAAAAATAACAAATGGCTGTTATGGGAGCTGAGGTACATGTAACATGGACAGGAAGAAATAATTTCCTGAAGATGGGAGTTTGAACACGGAGCGGATCTCCTCTCCTCTCACGCTAAAACTTGTAACAGTAAATGCATGTTTGTAACTTGAGGCGACAGAGGGTTACAGGCTATTTGCATCGCTATTCTATTAAAAAAAAAGGTTTAAAGGCTTGTTTATGGTGGAAAGTGCACTTAGGTAATATGCCTCAAAGATCCCTAACGTTTCGCCATAAGGGCGCTATTTGAAGTGTCCAAGCTAAAGTTTTCGTTGATTACAAATTAAAGCTGTTTTCCTATAGCTATGAAAAAGATTGCGAAGCGCTGTTTGCGATGCATTCCTGTTGGAATATATAGCAAGTTACCTTTTTCACAAGGCAGAAAGCTGACTCCCCTAGGAGGTTTGGGGGGGGGAGGGGTAGGGGTTTGGGGAGGGGGGGGATATCAAAGGGTAAGTAATTCACGAGTTGAAGTGTTTGAAAGGGTAGCAAAATCTTTAAGTACTTGAAAGGTCTTAATAAAATGCCTCGAAAAGCGGTTCCTTATGGATGGCTACATCATTTTAATTTATTTCACGTTATACGAAAACGACTCTCTGTTTTATTCTTATTAATAGGTATGTTTAAGGGGCAACATTTTTCAATGGACGGTATACAGAAGGGGTATTTTTTTTAGTCAAAAATGGTGTACAGTTGAACTTCTCCACAACGGCCACCCTGGGGACAGAAGAAAGTAGCCGTTTTAGAGAGGTTTAAACAAGAGTAAATGTATGGACTGTCCGCCAAAAATGTGACCATTGTATAGAGGTGGCTGTTAGTGGAGGTTCGACTGTATAAGAGGCCGGACCTCCAGGATGAGCCTCCCTGTAAAAAAGTTTGTTGACTACTCTCCCCCTTCCACGCCCCCACAGGGGCTGACGGCATGAACCGATAACCCCAGTAAAGGTAAAATTTGTTGTCACATGACCAACGTGGCTTTCCGACCGACAAGGCGGAACTACATTTGCTACAAGGTTTCATGTTTCATGCCACCTGCCTCGCAGGCACAAGCAAGCTTATTGTATTACAAGGCAGTAGAATAGACTAATTGCAGAAGAGTAATTCAAGCTTATTGACGCTCTTTTTCTGCCATCGCATAGCTCTATGACGCAATTCGATGATTTGTTTCGAAATCTTATTGCTTTATCATTTAAATGTAGGCTTAACGTCAAATATATGCTTTCCATTTCATTTCAAGGCGCTATTTTAAGCAAAAATGGCATTTTAGCATTTTTACGCGTTGCATTTTATCACACCGTTGGATAGTGACACAAGAGGTTCCCAGTTCGTCAAGTTATTAATAACTACAATAGATTTTAAGTCAGAAAAGTGCTTGTAGCCGACCGACTACCCTGAAAGACTTACGCCTTTTTCCCCACTATTTTAAAACGATTTTTGTCGTGTGTATCGCATAGCCAGCAAAAATATGTGAGTAAAGGCCTAATGGACATTTTAAGTAATTTTAATTTGCATCTCATTCAAGTCGGAATGTTGAAACGATACAAAGAAGTTTTAAAAAATATTGTTGATTAACCCTCCGGGGCTGACGGCAGGAACCGCAGCAAAGATAAAATTGGTTGTCACATGACCAGCGTAGCTTCCCGAGACCGACAAGGCGGAATTACTTCGCAAGAAGATTTTATTTTGCATACCTTCTGCCTCCTTTAAGGTACATACTACTTGTAATTTAAATATTGCCAAGGAAAAGCTTATTGTAAAGTCACTAGAATAGACTAGTTCGAGGTTATTCTGCCATCGCTTAGCTCGACGATGCAGTTCGATGATTCGAAATTAAGTCGAGTCTAAGGATAAAATCTTGATAGCTTTATTATTCAGATGTAAGGCTTACATCAAATTTATGCTTTGTATTTCATTTCAAGGCGTTTAATATTTTAGGCAAAAAACTAATGGCATATTTCTTGCATTATCACGCGTTTTATTGCATTGCGTTGGATTGCGTTGACACCAGTCATTAATAACAATCAAATGATTTTAAATCAAAGTGCTTGCAGCCGACTGACTGTCCTGAACACCTCAGGCTTTCATAATGTACCAGTTTTCTTACTATTTTAAAAAGATTTTGTCGCGTGTATCGCATAAGCAGTAAACATACATGAGTAAAGGACTAATATACATGTTAGTTCATTTTAATCATAGTTAATTAAAGTGGAATGGTTGGGTTGGGAAACCCTTTGTTCTATGTTTTTGTTCGCTGTTTTGGACCTGACCGTGCACAACGTTCAATAGCATTCCTATTATTCTGAACTTACTGACCAATAGAAACATCGCATTAATTTATTCAGTCACAATTTGAGAACAAAAAACAAAAGATTGTGCACGGTCAGGGAGCTTCCAATATAACCTACAGCACCATTGTTTTCAACTTTGATGTTTGCCAGCTTTCCTAACCAGTCTCCTCTACTAACTTTGTTTTAATTTGCATCTCATTCAAGTCGGAATGTTGAAACGATTCAACGAAACTTCAAGAGTCTAGCATCAAGTCAACCGTAGCCTGTGCCAATCTCTCAGATAATAGGAGCGTCGCAAAACAGCTTAAGAGCGGCTCCGCGTAAATATCAACTAGACGTGGAAATGGTCAAAAAATGACCTGGCCTCAAACTCAGCCAGAATAAAGCCCTATGGGCCCTAGTAACAAAATCGTTGGTTTAAGTACGATCGAGTGAATAATATTTTTTTAACGAATTTTTTTCTTCCCTAGGCCTAAAATGGGCAAAAATCATGCGAAATTAGAGTCATATTCAGTAACTCGTAAATTTTAAAATAAAGTTGGCTACTAAGATATAATGACACTTCGTATTTTTACTATCTTTCCTCTATAATTTTAACTGATTAGTTCGCGATTTGGTCAACAAGAGATTTTTAAAGAAATTTTCAAAGTTGTTGACTCAAAATCGCTTAATCAACCGTCAAAATTTGGCACCTCTTCACGAGCTAAAAAAGCGGATTGGTACATGGCTTTGAAAACCAAGGCTTGTTTAGTCTGAAAGAGCATTCCTTTTTCTTCAAATTAGCGAAATAAAATTTTTGGGTAAATGAAATCACGAGCGCTGACAAAGCCAAGCAAATGTAAATATTACACTAAAAACGGGCGAAAAAACGTGACCTCTGACCGAAGCACAACCAAATGCGAATTACGGTAGGCGCCAAACCTTTAATTATTCGGTAACTTCTTGAGACAATATTGGTCCGAAATGTGTATAGATTATTTACATAAAGCTGAGTTAAAGTATTAAGTGTCAAAAAGTCCACAGAGCGGTAAAAAATACAACAAAAGTCACGAGTAATCTGTTCCGTTTTCTGAATTTTACGCAGCGATTTATGCGATTTAACGAATTAACAATTTTTAATCCAACGA